GACGGACACTGGACAGCGTGTCGGTGTCGTTCATGAGTCGTGTTGCTCTGTCGCAACAAGGATGTCCGCGCTGTGGAGGCTGTAACTGACGCTTCCGATGCTGTGGAGGCCCGGCAGTGCAGCGCTTTGGAGGCTGTAACTGCCGCTTCCGATGCGTTGTGATGTGCAGAGTGCGACCTTCTCAGGCCGTTCAGATCACGCACTGATCGTAGTCAGGATATGTGAGCTATGGCAGAGAGCCTTAGAAATAATGGCAAGTCTTTTATATGATCCTAAAGAAAGCTATTCAAATCCAGTTAAACCTTTAGATTTGATGGTTCAGGAACAAAATATAGGTAAATATACTTCACATTATCTACTTAATTACGGTGAGTTATAGTTGCAGACAGCATATTTAGCGTCCAAAACAGGAACAGGATCTCCCATTTGAACCTGGCGCGACGATATTGACTGTGTCATATGGATTAAGGATCGAGCTTATATAGGCGCTCATCTATGAACTCGGAAGCTACGCATTAAATGACCATAACAATCAATGCTGTTCGTCATTTATAGTGCATGTGCATTACGTAAACGCATTATTTATAGAACGTACACACATTATTTATATTATTAGAGTGTAGAACATTATATTAATTAGAACATTATTTTATTTTATTTAAGAGAATTATAACATTATTTTGTGATGGTCATTGTTTTTGTGACGACACGGATTCCGGAATGCTATAAAACTAACGGAAGTTCTAATCTTTATTCGAAAGCAAAATTATGGTAAAATTCATGGAGTATGTAAGCTAAAATACAAGCATAAAAGGATATTCTTATTATATAATTGAAGCCAAAAGAGAAAGCAGGCGCGAGAGCGAGGCTGGACTGGGAAAGAACCTCTGCACAAACAAATGCCAAACTAACTAGCGCTTGAAAAATATCAGGTATCATCAACGCTTCACTCGCAAATTCAAATCAACACCATTTCGTACATATTATGCACAGAGTTTTTGTAATCAGTGTGTTAACACAAACCAGATATTTGCACAGCAAATACGGCTCGAAACAACTAGTAATTAAAGGGAAACAACTAGCAATTAAAGGGAAACAACTAGCAATTAAAGGGAAACAACTAGTAATTAAAGGGAAACAACTAGCAATTTAAGAGAAACAACTAGCAATTAAAGGGGCGGGAGCACCAACACAAGCACCGCGACATTCCGGACGGTGCGAGAGGTGAAAAGGTGCAGAAGAAAGCAGGCAATCGCACGTCAAAGGAGGCCTGTGAGTGTAGGCTGCACTAACACGTAGCTTCGCAGCCAAATACTTGAAGAGAAAGTTCATAAGCGCTATTATTTAACTATGTTGGCTATACTGCTAGGTACTTGTTCCTGCAACTGCTAAAATGAATAGAATTTTAATAAAACCACTTCAGTCACACTTCCGCAGTCAGTTTACCGTCAGATTCGATATGCAAGGCAATGTACATGAAGTGAAGAAAACGCTTGACATTTACTTGTATGAGAATTTTGATACTATGAATTTATTAATAGAATGTGATATACAACTAAATTTAGCACTGATTTATCCTAAAGCTTAAAACTCAATTCAGATTACTCATATAAAAGTCTTCTCATGTATGTAATCGAGCCGAATACTTCTTATCAGCTTCAAATACTGCAATATTCCCCGACTATAACTGATGAATAATGTCACGTCTCAATCTGAAGTCTATTACCTATTCCTGTAGCAGCTAAAACGTTCTATTATCCTCTCTAGTCTCCCGTACAACTTCCAACCCCACAAACGAATTTCCATTCGACATGGGTGTATTGAATGGGTGGCAGCTGAAACCACCTATGAAAAATTATGCTGGACCAATTCAATACTAGAAAATATAACTAGATTATTTCCTGTATCTTTACGTTTATATTCCCGACACTGCAGGCCATCTTCATGATCCCGAGACACGGCTGCTCCACTCGTCTCGAAATTATCTTGACGAACCCAGCCTATAAAGCGGCCTAATGCTAAAGAGTTCACTGCACCGTCCACAATATAGCCAGTGAGAATTCGCCGCAGTCTGGGAGCCAACCACGGCTGAACATATGTCTGCCCCAACGGTTGCACCAGCGCCGCCCCAAGGCAGTAAACAGGCAGGCATGTCCAAGCTACCGTAACATGCCTGCGAGAAAACGACCGAGGCCACTGCCGTGCCCGGCCTAATCGTCCGCAAACTGCGGTTATGCGACTTGCGTTCGTCGTTGTCGGCCTAGTTCGATATTTTAGCCAATGTACCTGCACCTAACGGCCTTGGTTACTGCGAGAATTTCAAACTGGACATGCACAATTTGCTCAATAATGCCGTCTTTCATATGGGGAAATAAGACATGCAAAAAATGAACCTCTCAAAAATATTAACTATATTCCATAATTAATGCGGAATTGCTTCATAATTTCTAAACGATAAGTTTCAAATCAACCGAGTTGCTCAATATTTCAATTGTCTGAAATATTTCACGGATAGACAAAGGAATATCTCACGAATGGATGCTTACACGTGAAGCAAAAATCGCACATTCATTTCGAGGGAAATATTGATATAGCCACATTACTGGGAGCTTCATGGCACCATGTGCAGCGATCGTGACGGTCAGCACCCCCCAATAATACAGCTCAGGCAGTTATGCCACGACATGTACAATCATTTTCTCCACTCAAGAAATTCAATATAAAAAAGTTAAAAGATTCCTGGAAAGTAACCCGTAAGCGGTCCGTCGTGTGTTGCAGTAAACTTATTTTTCCCATTTATTGCATTACATTCTTAAGTTGTATGTACTTTTATATGTCTGCACACATTACTTATATTGCTACTCGATACATGATCAGAATGTTTCAATCAGGGTTCATTTCTAACAACGGAGAAATGAAAAATGGAGCACTAATTTTGAAACTCAGCAGGATTAACTGCAACAGATGTAGAGCAGCAGTCACGGCCAGTGAAAATGATCAGCCCGACGGCCTAATGAATCAGGGAATTCACTGCCATATACTGTAAATTCCAATGTCGTATACGATTTTTTACTTAAAAAAACGATTTTTACATTTCGAAAACAGTGCAAGAATTTTCATGTTAACCGATGTAACCGTGCTAAGTTTACGAAGACACAATAATTATAAATGAGAAATATTAAAAAAAAATTTTAAAAACCAAGCTGAATTAATTTAGATTGTAAAGTCCATCACTACTTCACACTGACATTCCAGCAATTTTATAATTGGTAAGTTTTTTCTTGACCAAAGATACCGGCGCATGAGCGCCGCCGGCCATTGACTCGAGACAGCGACGTGCATACTAATGTGGCGGCCACTACAGCGGCTAAACGAATCTTCAATGTTGTTCCGGTTCTTACTTTACGAAAAAGCATACTCTTTTAATCACATTTAATGGTGCGTTACTACAGCAACTACACGCATCTTGATCGTATTAACTGTAGCGTAAATACGCACGCGAAGTAATGGCATCACTGTAACACTTGATAGATGACATGAATTAAAGATATATCGAAAACTTCGATAAGTTATTGAAGATGAAAGATTGAACGCAGCACGAATATTAACGTAACGAACATAAACGGAGACCAGCTCAATGTAATTGAGCTGGTCTCCGAAACGTTTTCAATATACGTAGATATGCTGAATTTTTTTGGAGTTTTCTTCGCTTTTAAATTTCTAGTTAATCTGCGATTCAAGCAATCTAGTGACATTATTACTTGAGCACGAACATATAAGCAAGACATGCCAGAATCACTGGGCAGGGCCAGACATTTTGCTTCACTCACAAGAAAGTCGCAGTTTCGTGGCCTGACTGCGTTCACGACTTCTGCAACAAACAAAACAATTCATTACATCTCAAGAACTTGTAAACAACAAGACGGAAGTTTTGCATCGAAGAAGAATCGTTGCGATATATGCACTCTGAGGAGCATGGTTCTCTCGGCCAAGAACATAAGCAACACTTGCAGTTAGCGGCAATATAAAAAAACACAGAAAGTTCTTAGTTGACGTAGAAATTCATGTCAAAATGATACGATGATCCGATGCTATCCTTATATAATATGCGTTGTGCTTGCAGATTAAAAACTTAATTACAATCTAATCTTTTCATTTTCTCTAAGTTTTCTTGCAAGATAATTATAGGCTTACAAGAGCTTTCCGTTGACAAAGGCAATGTGGTTACCGACAGTGAATGGCCCTGCAGAGCTAAGATCTTATGAATGCGATACAAGCGATGAGATACGCCCATCCTAGAGGGATGATTTACGCCTGCCGGGCTGCCACAACACCGAGAGTCAGGCCCTTATAGCACCTCACAGACAAGACATTCTTTGAGACGGCCAGTGTACTGACTGTGTCTGTGCTGTGTGTCTGTGTCATGTGCTGTGTGTCTGTGTCATGTGCTGCGTGTCTGTGTCATGTGCTGCGTGTCTGTGTCATGTGCTGCGTGTCTGTGTCATGTGCTGCGTGTCTGTGTCATGTGCTGCGTGTCCGTGTCATGTGCTGCGTGTCTGTGTCATGTGCTGCGTGTCTGTGTCATGTGCTGCGAGTCTGTGTCATGTGCTGCGTGTCTGTGTCATGTACAGCGCGCAGCATATGTGCACACAGAGCTCAAGCAATTCATGACGCAAGGAAGGCTGTGAAGCTCGTCCGATCATTTGCAGGCAAACCACAAATGCGCTTAATCGAGGCCGGCCATCATCAAGTTCGCTATCTCTTCAACTCACTATAAGCGCGCAAGTGTTGGCGCGGGAGAACGCGTACAACGCTCGGCTCTATGGCAAGAGAAATGCGTGATTCAGTAGTGAAATGTACTCATTTTAGTGATTTTTCTGCGGGTAATGAAAGTGAAGCGGATCAAAACAGGTATACAACTAAACAGATTTTATAGAAAATAGGAATAAAATTCAAGGGAAATCAAACATGTAAAATCGGTGTTTTATTCGAAAATTATATACACAATGCATAGTGCTTCTCCCTACTTGTGAGTAATCAATAGGACAAAGAAACCCGAGAAAGTATAATTATTAAAGAAATGAGACCGCACCTTATTTCTCGGGTCCGCAACGTATTGGCGTTCTGTGGTTTTCATTCGTGCTCCATCGTTTAGGTACTGATCAAGAAATATTACAACGGTTTTCGGTTATTTTCTTAGACGAATAAACAATGCTCTTTATCAAATTCATTGAGTATTACTATTCTAGAAGTAAATATTCGAGTCGTCCATTGCAAATAAGTTGGCTACAAACATCATAAATTCCGGAACTATCGACCAAGCAGTGACAGTTGCAATGTAATAAAGTACAAACTGAATACTATGTAGGCAATTGAATACTATGTAACCTACAATTAAATGTCAATTGTAGACAATTGACATTTAGAGACAAAAATATTGCCGCTGATAATCGACAGAAGTGAGCAATGAGACGCTCGTGTCGCAACCACCAAAGATCGCAATGACCTCCGGCACCAACTGTCAAAACTTTGTTCAAATGCCACACAGTTTGAAAAATAATAGCAAAACTGAAAAAGAGCATAAAAAATTCGAATACTGTTAATGAATACCAGAAAGAGAAAGTTAACTTTGAATGATAATAAGTGGACGATAATATTGCAGCGCTGCCAACAGATCAAAAGAGCTGTGTCAGTGTTCAATAGTGGCTATTGAACACCATTGAACAGTATTGAACACTATCCAACACTATTGAACACTATTTGAGAGTGTTCAATTACAATAGTATTCCATGAGCGCGACATGAGTACTGAGAGCATGCCGGTCTGCGAGGCTGCCGCCAAAACGAACTCGGGAACTCAAACCCCTGCAGAGATGACACTTTTTTCTTAAATAAAATAAGAGTTATCACCTGCCTGCCTTTAGGATATGGTAATTAGAGGAGGTCAATCATGAACTTCCCCGGAGGCTGATAAATCAACTGAATAATGAACGAGGCAGCTTATTACGTACGGCAATGACAGTTGAACATAATTTCAGACTGCATATCCGAGATAACTCTGAGAGTGTTTTGCAATCCTATTTGCAAAACTCTAAAACAGGATTGCAATCCTATTTATTTAGTTACAAGGTGTAAAATATACGTCTTTTAGCCAATTATAATGTTGCATAACCACGCTATAGGTCCCACGTAAGTTTCTTAATTAAACATACAAATTCCTGAAATAAATCTCATCTACTTCTATATATTCTTAATCATCGAAATTCATCAATACAAACTGAAGTTCGATGGTCGACGTCTGCCGGTGGGCTTGCTAGCAGACGTTCACCACCGCCTCACCTCGCAGGCCATCACAGTTGGCTTCTGTTTGCCAGGACAGGTTGATTTGTGAAGCGCTCTTATCGCCTCTACATCTGCAGGACACCCTGCATCTGCAGGACACCCTACATCTGCAGGACACCCTACATCTGCAGGACACCTTGCATCTGCAGGACACCCTACATCTGCAGGACACCCTGCATCTGCAGGACACTTGCGTGCTGCGCAATAATTTGGGCCTCAAGGTCCCTTCTCCCTCGGCCCAACCAAAACCTTCAGCGCTTTCTACTCACGTCGCGAATAGTCGTAAGATTGCAGGTGTAGTTAATACTTTCGATAAAGACAAGCTAAAAATAAATTAATTATAACAAGAAAATCGTGTGCTAAATGAATAGTTTATGTAAGTGAATCCTAAACTTTATAATAGTTCTATCACTCATTGTACTTATCTGCCCAGTAATTAACGTGTTCTCATCAGTTACTGTGCGATTTATCAGTTTTCTTGTCCCATCAATCATTGTGAATTTGAGCACTGTCTTATTCCATCCTTCATTTTCTTTTTGAAGATTTTTTGTATTTCAAAATTCATTTGCGTTTTAACGGTGACGGCGATTGATGGTTTCGGCAGTCGGCTGATGTTGAACACAAAAAATGACACCACGGTGGCGATTATTCAAATTGCTATATAAATGATGGTGATGATGATGATAACGTGATGATGATGATCATCATCATCATCAACGTGATGATGATGAGGGCGTGATGAAAAGTGCGATGGCTGTGTGGACGTTAGGAAGAAGGAGAGGAGCACATGGAGGCTCGAAGAACCCATGAAATATCAGCCCAGGCCACAACCTTCACCACGACCTCTGCTGCCTGCAGCTGCCGAGCTACTTTGCTTCGAGCTTCGAGCTACGAGTGCTTCTAAGACAACAACAAAACAACCTACAACAAATGAAGAAGTGGCGACAACAACCTCAAGGAATGATGAATTACACAGAAATCATCCAAATCAAAATATTATAAATATAAACATAGAAGCAAAGAAGACGCCACGGAAATTTACCATATTTTTAACGAGAGAGTTCCCGAGACCCGCTTCATTATCATTTGAACAAGGTTTTTAATAAATATGAGCAGAAAGGAATAAACTACACTAGGTATTTTTTCAAAAAATGCAAGGATTAACACGAAATGACTGGAACGCTGAGCTAACCACCGCTAACATGACGCTACAATGAATGACGTGACATTCGGACCAAGGCTGCGGTCGGCTCTCAAGGCGAGAGAGCTTCGCTGCTCGAGGTGCTTCTATAACTGCGGCCTAAAAAGACACCGCAAGAGAAATGCATATATGGGCACAAAAAAACCCGCCCCGAGACAAACACAGCCACTTGAGTGACACTTCAAGGTTAGCTCCGTCGTACACAATCGTAAGCTGCTCCCGGTAATCATAAATCGAGCAGCGTCGCCCGACGATCGAGAGATCAGAGTAGAAGCTGATCGTCCTGATGTCGTCGTCATCATCGAGTAAGCTCGTTGACAATTACATTGGCGTGTAAACACAGGAAATCAGCGACCTCCTTTGTCTTGAACGTGTGATGTTTGAAATAACGTTGCCACTACACGAGGCTTCGGCATTCCAGTAAGCAATTACAGACAATCAAGATAGCGTGCATTTCTGCGCAGGGCAGGAAACGTCACATTTGAACTTCGTCTATCGCATCATGTCATGTGGTGCAAAGGAGAGACAATAAGCAAGGTAACTTTTTAAAGCCAATTAATCATGCTTTGTCCGCAAATCATACCATTGACTGCACTGCAAGTAACACATCAGCTTTTTATTGCATTCCTCATCCCAAAGTAGCTCGATAGTGTTGACAATTCGGCGATGCAGGGACCTCTATTATTTTCATTGATCACACAATGCTTAGCAGGCCAATATAATGACGGTTGAATTACTATGAATGTAACGCGAATCAAAATAAATATACAATGAGAGAAAATAACCTTAACGATTTTCAGTGTCTAACCGCTCGGAAACTCGACGAAAGACACTGGCTGTTGAAATTGATGACTATATATAATCGCCTGTCTTCATAGCCAAGAGCCAACTGTAAATCTGAAGACAATGCACGAGCAAAGATAAAAGCTTGCATTATTCGTGATCCAGAAATGGAGTCAGACGTGGGGGTTGAGCGTAAGTTTGTGGGTCGTTGACACTGAAGCGCAGCACGCGCCCCAACAGGCCGCGGCTAACAGCGTTACGCAGGTCATATGCTCAATTGCGTCACAATGTGACGTCAAAATCAGAGTAGCTTTAGAGCACAATATAATTCGTTCACAGTTCAACGTAATCCATACAAAGACAAGCAGTTGCTGAGTCTCTCTCCAAAGTGTACATGACACAGACATAGTATGGAGGGTGAGGAAAGAAGCGGAGTGAGGGAAGAAGCGGAGTGAGGGATGAAGCGGAGTAAGGGAAGATGCGGAGTGAGGGAAGAAGCGAAGTAAGGGAAGATGCGGAGTGAGAGAAGAAGCGGGGTGAGGACAG